CTAATAAAGGACAGTAATTGGTGTAGTTAACATTATCTTTAGCTGGCACATAGGGTGGGAATAGATCAAAGCTCTATCAAAAACTTACGTTCAAGCCTACTTCAACTCAACCTATAATCTATTTGCTAAATAGACTTAGGTTAAATTCCAGCATTTAATTAGGTCAGGTATTTTTTTTTGAAGTCTAACCTACAAGTCTAACAAGCTGGCCTATTTACACACACATTATGTAATATATCACACACATCATTTTCACCCTTTGATTTTGAGTCAATCTATTCTTTTTTTTTTGTTTCTAATTATGTTTTTAATCGGATTGGACTTATATATAATTTTAATGTTATTACTTTATTTTTGTATTGTATTGTAGTTTATAAGTCCTTTTAATTATTATATATTGTAATTGATAAATTAAGTTATATATTATATCCTAATAGTTTTAAAGTATATTTGAAATGTTTAAAACTAAAATTAAACCTATTTAAAAGGTTTACATTTAAGTAGAAAAGCTTTTATGCTTGAGTAATTAAAAAAGTCTTATACGGGTTTCAGGTCAGGTTTAAGCCTCTAACTTATCATACAAGCTCAAATGAATTTGATTAAAAGTCTAACTCGGTCTAGCATATTTCCACCCTTACTAGCACATTACTTGTTTCAATGAAAATAAGAAATAAATCTCCCACATTTTTCTTTCTGTGCATAACATTAATTTTTTTCCATGATTTGTCAACTTCTTGTGTTTTTTAAAAAATTAAATTTCGTATTTTTAATTATTTTTTACCGTTAAATTGGTTTGATAGGCAAAACCATAGAATTACTACAACACGGCAACAAACTAATAACAGTTGGATCCAGTGAAAATGATTTAATTATTTTTAAACAAAATAATCATTATTTGATATATATTCAATCATATATGATATTTGTCTCTGGTTTTTCGGAAGCACGTCGTCTCAGCGTCGTTAAATCATGCCCGTCTAAATAATCTGCTGGCTCATAATGCATCACATCAATAGCTTTTTCAAAAAAGAAAATAACGGCCCAAAACAAAAAATTGAAGATAGCTTGAGTTCCGAAATTTTTTAAAAAGTTTGATTGTTGCATTTAATAATTTCAATTATAGATTAAGAGTGATATTTAGAATTTAAATATTTTAGTTACAATTAAAATTTTTGAATTTGTAATTATTTAAAATACAATATTTATAAATTATTTTGAAAAAATATCAAAGACTTGAGTGTTACTCCCTCAAGGCATTTTTTAATGAGTTAAATGTTTAAAAATGTAAATCATTTTTAGTCTTTTGAGGTGTAATCATTGCCTTTTTTTTAAAATGTCCCTGTTGATAATGACTTTATATTTATTATAGGGTGTTTAATATGGATAAATATAAAAAAATAGAGTTAGTTTAAAAGTAACTAATTACTTCATTGGAATGTGAGATTCAGTTAAATTTTTTTTTTATATTTTTAAATAGAGGGAGTATTAAATTCATCCTTTAGAACAAAACTATTATTCTCCATTTTAAAAAAAATGCTTGAATAATGAACAGTTTATTTTCAAATTTCTGATACTGTCATCCCCTTTTTAAAAGCCTTGGAAAATCTGAATTTACAATTATTTGAATAAATATTTATGATTTATTTTTTATAAAATTATCAGATATTTTAATTGTTATTAAATCTCTCTTTTAAGATTTAACTTCATCTCTCCTTTTAAAAATATATTAGTGAACAGTCTAATTTTAAATTTTTAATATTGTCATTCTCCTTTTTTAAAAGCCTTGTAAAACATTTAAATTTTAGATGTCGCTCTCAATATACAATTGGAATTCTCATATGCTACAATCAATTTTTACAACTCATTTTAAAAAAAAAATTGTCAGAAATCTAAATGTCGCTAATTTTTATTTTTTGGGGTTTTTCTGTCATTCTCATTTTTTAAAAAAGTCTTGTGACGTGGCATATTATGGGCGAACAGATTATTTAAACTGGCAGGATTTAAAGACGCTGAGAAGATCGGCACCCGGTTTTTCCAGGGAAAAAATTGAGGGACTCATGTAATTAATTATATACATACCATATAATGAAGTTTATTATACCGGAACCAGAAAATTTAGATAACGTGGCAAAATTTGTGCCAGTTAATTTCAAAAATTTAAGAAATGTAATTTTGAATATTTATAAAATTACTTTACAGGTAAACTTTATTAAAATTGAATACAAAATAAATAATATATATAGATGTATCATAATATTATTTAAAATAAAAATAAAACTATCTTAATACAAACAAGTTTTTTATCGAACCTATACACTATTAGAATTGAAATTTTTTATTTTTTCTTAAATAAATTTAGAACAATTGTCTCTTATTAGAGAATATATCATCAATATCTGTTAGAGAATAAAAACCACAAATTGATTTGAAAAACTTTAAATTATTTTATCTATTCCATAAAATTTATACTTCCTCTGTTTAAAAATGTAAGACATTTTTTTAGGAGTTGGATGTTTAAAAATGTAAGGCATTTTTAGTCTTTCAAGGTATAATTATTGTCTTTTTTAAAAATGCCTCTGTTGATAATAATTTTATATTTATTATAGGGTGGTTAAGAGGGGTAAATATGAAAAGATAGGGTTAGTTTGAAAGTGGGTAACTACTTTTATTAGGAAGTAAGATTTGATTAAAAATGCCTCACATTTTTTAATAGAGGGAGTATTTAAAATCAATAAGATATATATATATATATATATATATATGTTGCACAAGATCTTAATTTGGAGTCTATATAAATCTAGAAAATGTCTTTAGGATAGCTACCCTAATTGGACTTAATAATATTTGATCTCACTTAATTAGATATCCATAAAACTATATATTTTTAAATACACATATATGATTTTGGGTCAAAAAAAATTTAAGGGGCTAGTGAAATTAACTTTTTTAAAAAGAAAATAAAATTTTAGAAAGGGCAAGTGAATATTTGATAAGGAAGGCGAATAAAAAATTAAAGGGTAACATATAATTTTTCCTTCCCGTGAGGCAAACATATATCAGTAAATTAAAATATACATTAGTTAAATTTATGAGTATTTAAATCCTTATACTAAAAATTCCCAAAAAAAAAAAAACAAGAAGAAAAGAAAACGAATGCACCAAATTCATTCTCCTTTCACGTGTCATGTCTCTTTTTCCTATCATTAAGCTTTCAAACATGTCATTTCTATTCTAGAAGATAAAACATCAATTAGCTATGGACTCTAATTAGCTCTCTCTCTCTCTCTCTCTCTCTCTCTCTTCTCAATCGGAAAATTCAAATCCCTCAAGTTCTGTTGTTTTAACGGATGATAATTCACACCCTCAAGTTCTGTTGTTTTGACGGATGATAATTCAAGCGTCTGTCTACTTGCCATCAAAAAACAAAAGAACTAAGGCAATGTTTTATAGTGTTTTAAAAGTAGTTTTCTATTCTTTAAAATAAAAAATATATTTGGTAATATATTTTTAAAAAGAACTAAATATTATTTTGAAAAATAAAAAAATAAAAATATTTTTTAAGTGTTATGTGATTATTGTTTTGAAGAACAAAAAAATAAAAAAATACCTATTTTCATTATTCTTTTGTTCTCATAACATGTTATACAAAACACTAAATCTTAAAACAATAAAATAAAAATAATTTCAAACAGGCTTTAATGCTCCCTCAGTTAAAAAATGTAAGGCATTTTAACAAAATCTCACCCCAATAAAGTAGTTATTTGTCTTTAAACTAATTCTATATTTTTATATTTACCCTTATTTAATAGAATATTTCACCTTAAAAAATAAAAGTTATCTATTCAATAGGGGCACTTTTAAAAAAAGTACTAATTATACTTTAAAAGATTAAAAATAGCTTATATTTTTAACATTTAACTTCTCAAAAAATCTCTTATATTTTTGAATGGAGAGAGTGTATATATATATATATATATATATTTGGCTAAAAAATATATATTATTGAAACCCGCATAAAAAATCATTTACTCCGTTATTAGTTGTTTACATTTATTTTTGGGAGAATGAAAAGTAAGGACTTTGTAAAAAATTAATATTAAATCAAGACTTTTACTACTGAAATATGGGAGAAGGAGTACTAAATTTAGGAATGCTAGTGTTAAAAAATCCTAATTCGACATTAATGTTCTTATGAGTCCTTATTTGCCATCCTCCTTTTATTTTTTTTTCAGACCATTTCCCAGTTTGTTAAATGTTACAAAAATATAGCTCTTGATATACGGAACATAGAAATATTATACACAAATAACTTTAAATTTCAAAATTAAATTAATAAATTAAAAAAATTAATCATGTAAGGGATTGCTGGCTTTAAGTTTTGATTTTACAATGCTTCATGTTGTTCTTTACATATGCTGAAACAGTTGTTGTCATGTTCCTGTGTAAAGAATCAATTCCTTTGTCAAATACAGAATATGCTTGATGCTAGCTAGAATACACACATGACCCATATTTATAGGGAAGGAAATTTTGGTGCTAACTGGTTGGCTAATTGAAGTTTATTATGGGAATGTGGACTATAGGTTTTGAGTGAGCCTCTTAAAGATTTACTTGATTTACTGTATGGAGATGGACTGGACTTAACTTGCCCACGATTAATTTTAGTCTAATTTTATTTGGGCTTTGTCCTTGTGTACCCAAAAATCAAAAGTCAATTCCTGCGGCTCGCTTGAATAATCTAGTATAGAATAATTGTAATATTGAGTTATTTGTGGAAGAAGATAAGACATGTGGCTTTTACGAGGGTCAAGAAGTTGCATGGGAAAGCAACCTTTAAAATGACATCATCCACCAAAGCAAGAGATTCGAGACCCAAAATCCTAACCAATCATAACTCACTTTTAGATAGACCTCTCCAAGCCACTAATTTAGATATGCGTACTTCCTACGTATCAACCATACGGCTCACAAAATCACCTAACGTAACGACCCATGTGACGTCACATGCGATAGACCCCGTGCCTCCTATCTCATCTCTCTCTTCACCCACCCTCCGGAAACTCTGTTACAATTTTACCATGTAAGCTTTGAAGAGAAAAGAGAAGAGGGAGGAACTGAAAGAGCTTTGCTTCTTTTTCTCTTCGGTTGCGTGTGTCTCCGTTATTACTTTTTGTGATGTCTCTAAAAGCTGCTATTTTCTAGGCCTGATTGAACAGTGGTATTGGGTTGCTTTTCTCTGTGATTTTTCTACGAAATCTGGCAATGAGTGAGCTAACTTACTAGATTGTGTTTGATTCTAGTTTTTGCTTTAAGGATTGTTGCGGTCTATATGCAAGAAATGTTTGATTGGAACGATGAAGAGGTGAGTCAATTTTTCAATTATCTTTTTCCCTTTTGTGATTTTTTAGTTGTATTTTAAATTTAAGTTAATGGTTTGCTGTCTATATGGTTGCGTAGTTGCACATTATTGTAAACATAAGAAATTGAGGTGAATTCATTACTTTCCTCTTTAGTTTTTCCCTACTATCTTTTCAATTTACGTTTGGTGAAATGTTTGTGCTTGTGGCATTCTTCTGTATAGTTTAAGGACCTCTTGAATTGTATCTTGAATGTGATACATTTTTTGAGTTTATGTAAATTTATCATGCACATTATGGGAGTTGTATCAACATATTCTCTGTCATTGGTGTATCTTTGAGGCCTAAGTCCAAACTAAGAGGGAAGAGAAGAACTTTGATTTCTTTTCATAATGTTCATATGTTTGTTTACCCTATTATAGGCATATTGAATAATGACTACATATTTGAAACAAGGAAAGGGAGATTTTTTTTTATATATTTAAATTCCTAATGATTATATTATCAAGGCTATAATAAATTACATTATTTTAAGAAGAGTTTATGTTGGTTGTGGAATAACATGAGTTCACTTGTTTTTATTCAATACGTTGTTGTTGCTCTTCAATTTATGGTAGTCCTAAACTTATTTAAGAATATGCCAATATGAGTTCATTGGGAGATTTTTTTTTCCTTTTCCTTTTTTTAAGTTGCATTCACATGATGAGACAAGGAATCGATTGGGTTTCAGTGTGTTTTTATTTTAGCGACTAATGTTCCAGTTTAAAATTATTAAAGTATATGTAGTTACAGGGGTACTAAGAATTGAGTTGTAATTAGTTTCCATGAGAAGATGTGAGATAGATCTTGACCACAATATGGAGTTATGGAGATGGTATAGGGTTGATGACATGGCTAGTGGTCTGCAAGTATAGTTACATTAAGTTGGTTTGAGGATAAAATATTACCTTAAGCTAGTTTGAGGAGATGGAATAACTTCATATTTTAATGATCCCTTTTCTTAGAAGAGATTAGAAAATCCAAGACATATCGGTAGCTTTAGGGAAGGTGAGTTGTCTCTAATTCACAATCTTATGTGGTTACCTATTATATTAAGGTGGCATGGGTGAGGAGTGGAGTAAGATATTGCATCTAGAGCTATTAGGATGATTTGGTTTCTTCCTATCATGATTCTTTTAGTATTGGTTCTTATTAACCAATATTTAGAGAAGTGAGCTAAAAAAGGTGGATACTGAAAACCACTAAAACACTCACTTTATTTAATTTTTCATTAAAATAATAATTCTATTGTTTTTCCCTCCAAGTTCTTTAGTTTTTCCTTCTTTCCTTAACTTGGAAATCTAGATTGATGGATTCATATAATTCTTTTGGTCTTCTATCCATTATAGTCAATTTGGAAATAAAAGGCCTTGATAACTCATTATTTGGAAATAATGATTTTGATAGTCATTGAATAGTATGATTTTAATCTCTATTAGATTTCTTCACGCAAAAGTCCTATTATATCTTTGACAAAACCTAGTCCTATTATATATTTTTCTGAAGCTTTACTTTAATTAAGAGAATAAAGATAAGATTCTTTGCCATTTGGTTATAGATGCTGCAATACCATGTCAAAAACAACTTCAACTCTAAACTTACGTTTGTAAGTGAAGGTCCACGAATAATATTTGTTATCATAATCTCTAACAGAGTGGGAGAAGGATTTTAAATTTGATGTATGGAGTCACTTTTTCTCTTTTTTAAAAATTAAATTAATATCATTGTCTTTAAAGAAGTAAGAAAATACAAGAATGGGTACAAAGAAATAGCTTAGAAGATAGAAATTTAAAAATAGTTGAAAAGATTGAAATATGGTGCAGGCACTGTAGATTATAGATTTGATAAATAAGGTGCCATGATAGGAAAATTCTATCGTTTGGACATGCCTTCATTTGTGAACCATTCTGTATTTTTTTGTTATATTAAAATTTTTTATATTGAGTCATTTTCATGCTTGATTGAAGCTTAGATCCTGTGCAGTCTAGGTCTACCATCTATGGTACTTTTAAATCTTTTTGTTTCATGGCTAAATGAGTAAATTATATCTTGAACGTTAGGTCTAATAGCACCATAGATTCTAAATTTATTTATTGTTCAAATTAATTCCTCAATTTTTAAAAATGATATAATGTAGCCCCTGCCATTAACATAGATTAACTTTGACAGTTAGTTGATCAGAAAATACCAAAAACATTACAATAAAGGACCTAAAAATTGCAAACAATTTTTTTAGTCATTTTCTATCATTTTTTAGGTCATTTCTATATTTGTTTGGTTAACTAATAGTCAAAATTAATTTCTGTTAACAATAGAGGTAAGATTGCACTGTTTTCAAAAGTTAATGGAATAATTTATATAACAAATGAGTTCAGAGTCTATGCTGTTACTGGACCTAAAGTTCAGGGGCTAATTTACACAATAACCCTAATTTCATCTTTTTTTTTATCCTTTACAAGTAATGATTTTTATTTGTTTAAGCTTTAATTTCTTTCCCTTTCATCACTATTGTGGATTTTAAGGAAGCTAAACTACCTTGATTCCTATTTATGTATCAACCCTTTATATGAAAAAAAGGAATGAAATAAATAATCCAGTGAAACAAATTAATATTTCTCTCACTTTTTTAACATGGTATTGGAATCTCCCTGGCCTGATTTTTTCCCATGACCGAGTATAGTCACCAGTCCATTATGATTGAAGAAAAAGATGAGCTCCCACTAACAAGGAAACCTAAACCTTTTAGACCTTCTCTGTCAATGCTCATTTGGAGCACTGCTTACATATTAAATAGATTAGGTCACGGTTATCTATTATAGGGCGAGTCTATGATAGTTTTTAATTAAGGGAAGGAAGGGGAGATTACTTGAGTGGAGAGGCTACGTATTCAATTACTTGTAATACAAAATGTAAACTTGAAAAGCTGAAAATTATCAAGTCATGACTTGGGTGGTAAACTTTGAGCAAAGAGATAGGTGAGAATCGTACACCTTTTCAGGGCTGCCCATGTTGAAAGGCAACTTATGAAGCCTATTCTTCTTGTGATAGTATAGTTGAGACATTTGAGATAGAATGCTCAATTCATCAGCCTATATAGGGTATAACCCTTTCAATGAGAATGTTATGGACAAAAAAATAGAATTTATCTAAATAGCTAATGAGTTCAGGGTGTGAAGTTATATGGAAAATGCATAGTAAGAAACATAAGGGAATGGCAAGTGGCAAAAAGGGGCGACTATAGATCAAGAAGAAAACTCAGGGATTAAGAACCAGAGAACACAAGAAAGAGAGGAGAAAAAGGAAAGTGTAATGAGGAAGAGCAAAGAGCTAGGAGGGCATATTTAAAAAGATAGTTTGTAGGTATATAAAGAGAGTGAAACTGAGGCAATCTTAGATAGAATGCTAGATTCGTGAGCTTAAATAGTGAAATAAGTTTTAGTAATAGGTAAGAATGCTAATACTATTAGGTTACAAAGCCTTTTCTCTTTCTTTATTGACTATTTTCCTTATCCATATTTATTATATGCTTCGTCATGACTTATTTTTAGCTAGCTAACATATTACTGGATGATGCTGTTAAGAGTGATGATCATATTATGCTTTTCCCAGAGGCAAATGAAGATCTTTGTGAAAAGAAAGAATGGAATCAAGAAGCTGATAGCATTACACTTTTTGAATAGGAGAAACCTAAGGCTAAAATTGATTTTCAAGATAAAAGGATAGGAAGCAGTTCAAACATTGATATCAATAAAGGACTATCTCCCTTTAAATATGGTAAAAGCTCCTGGCCTAACTTATCTTCATCCAATGCAACTAAAATTGATCAGGGTGCCTTGGGAACTGAAGTATCTAAAAATTTAAGTGAAATTAGCAAACACAGCTCATCAAAAAGTAGTGAATTTCTTAATTTCTAGAATTATGGTTAAACACTAAATAGCTGGGTTTCTATGTATTTGTGTATGTTTTCTATACATGAGTAGTGTTATCTTTCTAAGAAAACTAAAAAATACACGCATTATGTAATTTTCATTGGCCGTTGCTAATTACATACATGTTTGACAAAGAGGCTACACAACCAGATAAAGATGTTAAAATTTTCAAGAATGAATGCCAAGGGAAAGAACAAGGAGATTTAATTGACTATGGCTGGGCTAATATAGGATGTTTTGATGATCTTGATCACATTTTTAGGTAAAGTAGAAAATCTATGTGTTACAGCCTTATTGTTAACAAATATAAATGCAAAACATAGCAGAAAAAAGAAACATTCGATAGGTCCAAGGGAAATATTGAGGTTTGATATTAATGTTCTAAAAGACTAAATCAGTGTTACAATGCACTCTACTGATTTAGAACAAAATGCTATTCCCTATTATAGCTAAAGTTCTTAAATAGCAATTAAGAAACGAGAACTATAAGAACACTGTAATGCTAACGAAGATGCCCTTTGGTTTTCGAGAGCCAATCTTTTCTCTCTCAAAATACAAAAAATATCCTCTTCTCCTAAATGACACTTGTGACTATTATGACCCAAAAGCACCTTGCACAGTCTCCAACATCATTTTCTGCTAAGCCTACAAAGTCAACATTCAGCCCCTCCTAAAGTTGCTTTTCCATTTCCTTGTATTTTCGTATTCTCCTCTTATATGTTTGCGTAGCAAAAGAGATTCCATCACGATGTCATGAAATATTTGATATATGCATTGCCTTGATGTCGTTCCACTAGAGATTCTGTAAATCTTTATGATTTTTCTCACACATTACTATATTTCACAAACATGTTTCTAGAAGTTGACTAAGAAGTAAAGGACCAAGTTTATCTCTCTTATCCCACTTTAAGATATCAAACGAGTAATGCTACTTAAATGACTATTGCAATCATAAGAATATTCATGGTTCCATCTGAGTTTAAAAGGGAAAATTTTAACTACTGTCACAAGGAAAATTTATGGATGCATCACTTGTA